CATTATGCCTACAATGACTGGCTCTATTTGCTTAACTGTCTGAATTGACTCATTTTTTCCATCATTTGGGAATGATTCAAGAGCTTATTTTGGCTTGACCAGATCTGACTCACCCTGGGTGACTTCAGAAATTAGAATAAAATTGAGATTGGTGCAGAAAAAGCAAAACTACAGTAAAATTGTAACTACAGTCTCTCTCCTGTTGTGACAAAGAATTCCTGGCCTCCAAACTGACTGCAGAAGCAATATTTATCTGGTCTATCACTGGTCCAAGTTTCCATCAATCAGTCAATTTTTATTCTGAGGGAAAAAACCAATGAGTATCATCAATCCCTTTTATATTAAATTTATGGCATAAAGGAAAACAACATTACAATTATAAAAATTTTACTGTACTACAAAGATAAAAAATTAAGAAACCTGTTCATCCATATATATGAATCCATGATGAAAAACCAGAGAAATAGTATCAAATTTCCCCAATTACTATGTATTAATATAAACATCAGTGTTTTCAACCATAACTTTGTTTTAATAGAGAGACTTAAACAAGCATTTAAAACTTTCATATTTCATACATGAATCTGTTCTATGCCTGCAAGTACAGGGTAGGCCAGGTTATGAAATATGTATAAAGGGACACTGCCAGGTGAAAAACATTGGGCAAAATTCCAAGGGCTTTACTGCATACTTATTCAGTTGTTTGCCAGGCAAACTCCTTTGAAATCAATGGGAATTTTGCCTGAGCGGAGATCAAGGAATGTAATAGTTAAAAACAAGCAAGCAAACAAACAAATTTATTACACACACACATACCGTTTTATTAAAAATACAAAAGATGCTACAATATTAAAGTCTAATATACTACTTATCATTATGCAGCTAGTGAGACATGCAATCTTTAGGACAAGATTCCTACTGAAAAAAAGAAGTAATGGATTGGATCTAAGTTTGGAAAAACTTATTGTGCAAATCCTAATAGAGCAGAATTTGACCTGTCTACGCTTTGATCGCAGCACCTTATCATCTAAGGGTACCGATGCCAAATGACTGCTGTCTAGTCATTTTAAGGACCTTCAGAACTTCCTAACTTTTTGCATGAAGGCAACCCTTCAGGAAAAAAGAAGTTACTCAGAATAACAGTAAAGTTTAGATAAGTAGTTTTTCTTCTGGAGCCATCAGTAGTTTAGACATCTAACCTAAAAAAACCCTGTAACTATCTGTCTTTTTTAAAGAGAGCCTCAGTGAAAGTAATTTGATAGCACCATGCAATTGAAGTAACTATATCAACCATGTTATAACAAAAATGTATCAAATCAGAAGTTGCTCCTAAATGCACCTTCCTCAAAGATACCAAGGATGCTTTGTGATGATTGCTTACATTCCCATTACTGAATTTTAAACAATACTGATTTTTACATCTTTGACTCTTCATCTCAGAGAGATGCAAAGAGAATTTCTCCTTCCTTCCTCTGCCCTGCTAAGATACATGTGGTGCTTTAGCTTTTATGCAGAATCCTATGTGCAACTTCTCCATTGTTATTAAGAGATAGCGTGATTTAAATAAGTTAATTCTTTTGAGACTTGGAGCTTTGGATTGCATTCTATGATTTGTATGATTCACCACACCTTATTTACTACAGAAATGCATCACTTGACAGGATACATCATGAAATTCAAGTTGCAGTTCAGAACATTTTTGTCATTTGAATGGATGCGAAAGCAGAACAAACTGACCATCCCCAGACACATAACAGACTGCAAGAACTGGTGATGGAACATTCAGTAAACATAACATCTAACAGACATAGTAAGCAATGACAGGAAGGTGAAAGCAATACTAAATACCAGTGGTGTTCCAACATTAGTTATCTAGAGTGCAGACCTCAAAACCACAAAGACTGAACCTTGTATGAAATGCAGATTTCTTGGAAGCAGTGTTACATTTTTATATTATTCCCAGTCTTTCCTCCATGACAAATAGAAGGACATGGTACAGTTTATTTTTTCTCTCAACAGCTTTCCCTCTCTTTTTATTCCATTAGTTAGGTTGAGCCTAAAATCTATAATTTTACAAAAAAGCAGTCATTAATATGTCCTTCCTTTTCAGAATGAAGTGTCTCTATTGCAATTTAATTTCTATGTTTTTTGAACTAGTATAAACTATGCTGGGAAAAATGCATTTTTAAATCAGTTCTCAATGGTTTTGCAGCCTAACTATGCTGACTAGAAGCACGAAGAAAAACAAACATACTTCTTACCAACCTTCCAGTGAATAGAAATAAATTTAGATTGGCAAAGGTATCTTTTCCTAGTAGAGTACGTACTATTCGGCATAGTGGTTTTAGCTGCAGTGGGCAAGGAGAAGGAACTCCATCTGTTGAAATAAACTGTGCTATACAGCTACGTCAGCATATCCTTGGTACTGCAGACTTGGCCCTTATTCTGTGATAAGCCTCCACATGGAGCATTAGATTAGTACCACTATAGAGAAATGCAGCATAGTTACACCAACATACTTCCTCACAAGGATGGTGAAACAGTCATTGAAGGCTTGCATTTTTCTTTTTATTATTTGCTGGCAGTGGGAGGGGAAGTTTCAGTTTGACAATTCTAGAAATAAGAGAATTTGTGTTATGAAAGATACTAATACTGCATCGTCCTTCATACGTAATTCAAGATCAGACATTACTGCTATTACTGCAGTGAAATAACCCAGTGTGTTTAAACATTCTGCACTATTTTCATGCATTCTACTATCATTTAAGAATCTGCAGTACCTACAGAGCACCACTATTCAAGTTTTCTTCCCTAAGGCAAGCGTATTACCTTACTTCACAATTTATTCTCTAGTATTTAAATTAGCCAGTAACAAAAAACAATACCAAAAAAAAGTGTGGCGACACTGAGCATTTGCCTCGAAAATCCGTTATGTGCTTTAACTACAGCATTGAAACTCGGAGCCTACATTCACCAAAGGATACTTTGTAGAACATAGTATAGGGCCTCAGTAGATGCCACATCAAGAGTTGGTATCACACAGACAGAAAAAGACAGGACCTTGGTAAGTAACAAAAAAGCAAGCGTTCCTGATAACCTCAAGGATATAAAAATTGGGCTTTTGCAGCTTTAGAAGTCACTTGACCAATGGAAGGACTGCAAAAAACTGAACAACCCCATTCCAGCTTTCTGACAGAGGCACAGTCACAAAGTCCTGAATTCAGCCTTGCTGTCGGACTCCACGGATTGCACAGAGCTCTGGAGAATAGCCTGACGTGGGTAAAAACATTCTGTGAGACAACACAGACTTCCTGCTTAGGTCCTTATAATGCCCACCCCTATAACACAACAGTTCGAATTTCATTGAAATGCTCTGAAACCCTGCTCAATGTCCCCAGATCACCTGTCAAAACTCTTCACAGATTCCTAACACCACAACCCTCTCTGAATATACACAAGAATCCAGTTCTGCACATTATGCTTTGGCAAAACTTCCATTGACTTCAACTGTCAAGTAGAACACAGACAATAACCACAACAAACAACACATTCAGGAGCTCAGATGAGATCCAGCCACTTTTATCTTACAGACTGCAGTTAAAAGGAACAAACAGTGTTTTGCAAATTATCAAGATTAGTTCTAATTACACTAATTTTCTGCCTTTAGAGTTGCTAATAGATAGATATGTAGAAGTCATGGTTAAACACATGCTGAATGTAACAGTGACAGAGATGTTATTATACCTTAGCATTTGTAATTTTATTGGTTTGTCTGTGACAGGACCAAGGAAAAGCATTTCTTAGGGTTTCCGTTTTGACTGCATCACTCCAACTCTACATTCCCCAAACTTTTGGACAAGCAACTCTTACCACCTTGCAAATTTTTTCCACTGATCACCATGTGTCCTTATCATTGACAGGATACTCAAGACTTTTATGTTAATGATCTCTGAAGTAGCTTTGTGGACCAGCTGCCAAGCACTTGCCCTGACATAACAAACCACAGCAGTTTATTGATTACAGTAGCAGAACCACAACCTATTTTGTTCTGGGGAAGATGGAAGGTTTCTTGTATGCCCATAAGGCTTGAGTTAAAGACAGTCTCTGAAGGAGGGCAATACAATTTCCCAACCATTGGCAATCAAGCACCCCCTTGAAAGATAACACAGCAAGCTCTTAGCTTGAAGGATTCTTTCTCTTGATGTGCAAACCAATTGCAAATAGTGTTTTCTCAGAGTTAGAAGTTACAAGATAACCCGGTAAGAGCAATTAAAATGTGACCTGGCTTTATCAAAGGAAGTGAATTGCCAAAGACCATGCTGGGTATTGCTGGTGGGGTCTGGCAGGAAGACAGGCTGAGCCTGAATACTCCATAAATTGAACCTACCTGGAATTTGACTAAGTAGCAATAAGAAAACATGTCTATCAGATATGCATAAAATACAGGTGATATTATTTTCCTTGTTTTGAAATACACTTAGCACAACAGGTTCTACAACCTAAAGTCTACCAGAAAACAGAACATGAGACGCTGACAAGAATAAAGATCTTTAAGAGAATACAATGTGATCTATTGAAAACAGCAAAACTGTTTAAGATCTAGAAAGAATTAGAGTGGTGAGAAGTGCAGATATCTTAGTCATCAGGACTTAATGTCCTAACATTCACATTGTCATTTCACTGTGTTAATGATTGAACTCTGCAGTCTTGTGTCTTTTAAGTGCTCTTATTTCAGGGAGCACTGGAAGTCACTGCATGCCAAGCATATTTTGCTGTCAATGCACAGGGGAATGTTTGTGTCCTGAAAGCAGCACAGCGTTTTCTTCCTTGCATACTTAATGCTCACAGGGTTTTAGCAAAGAAAGGTCCCTACAACTCTGAGATAACTAACCCTGTTAGACAGTGGCACAAATACAAAATTGCTGATGGAATTAAGCCATGTGACAACACAGTGTTATAGCATAGCTATTCTTTATTAGGTGAAGGAAGGTATTTCTCACCTGAAACTCCAAGTACCACACATTTCTTGATCCAAATGAAAAGCTGTTCAGCGCATGGCAGAGAAATGAAGAGATTTTGCAAGATTAACTTCACTGTTAAAGATGAGGTGGGATGACAGCGCTCAGCTCCAGCTGCTGGCTGCTATATGCACACCCTGAGGCTACTGAAAGATGGCAACAACATCTCCAGCTAGTCCTCATTTTGGGGGAGGAGGTGAAAGGGGGAGAAGGACCTTATTTGAACAGCTAAAAATTTGTACTGTCTTCCAAAGAAAGTAAAGACATAAGGACACAACTCTCTCCTTCCAACCCCTCCCAAAAGGCTGACCAAGAGCAATCTCTAATTTATTTCCCTATATATTCCCCTTCAATACGCATGATATTTTAAAATTAATAATAAACTTGTCATTTTTATTGAACACTAGAGACCATTTCTTATTCTTATCAAGAATGCAAAAATACACAGAGTAGACGGGGACACATATAGAGTGAGGCACATTTTCAAGATCAGAAGAGCCGAAAATACTTGCCCATGATGACAGCATTTCTTGACTTGGTAAACCATGCACGTCAGATAAGGCCTGAGGAAGTAAGAGGGTGGATAAAAGGGAACTCTGTGGAAAGACAGAAAGAAAAGAGAAACAGACAAACAGGGAATGAGAACGAATCCTCTAGCAAAGTGCTAGCCCCAAACAAATTCCAGAAAAAAAAAGGTCTGGTATTGAAAATTGCTAACTGCAAGTTTTTATTCTAATTTTAGTCAGAGAACTGAGCATCTGATAAAGAGATGAAATGTGCAAATCAGGCACTGAGACATTAGCATACACAAATGGGCCATGACCTCTCCAACTGTTGTGCTTTTTTGTGTGTGTGCTTGCAGACACCGTGAGGCAAAAATTCATCCTCAGTGTAATTGGATTAAGAAGTCGGTGGAATTATATCAGAAATGAATATTACCCTGAATATCTTTATATTGATATGATTATATGGTATGGGAATATTCCAGCTCAGAGTGGCTTTTTCCCCTCCCTCACATGAGAGCTGCAGACCTCAATACTAGCTGTTTTTTTGTCAGTGGTTTGTTGTTTTTGGTTTTTTTGTTTGGGTTTTTTGCTGGTTTTTTTATTGTTGTTTTTTGATGTTTTGTTCTGTTTTGTTTGTTTTTTTAACTGAGAGTTTAGCTGGTTGGCATGGCTAAGCAGGATGCGGTATCTTTCACTACTTTTGTTCAGCCTTTTTAAGCAAGTGGAAAAGGCTTGAAAAACTTGGATACATTGTCATTTATGCTATATCCCTTCCCCTTGAAGGGTTTCAAAGCTGTATCACAATGTAGGTAGCAAGAACCAAGTTAGTGTGGAATCTCGGGCTCCATAATGTCTCTGTTTTATGACTTGCAAGTCATTGGATAGACAGTAGATGGTAAACTCAAAGGAAGATCCAATTACAAAATACCAGTTATGAATGGCATGCAGACAATAAGACAAGTATGTGAGACAGGTAAACTGTGAAATCAAGGTGACTTCAAGAGTGACCCCCAATTACAAGCACATTTTTGAAACCTACCTAGAAAATCCCAATACAAATTTGTTCTATTTCGTTGACTTTACTGCAGAGCTTAGCTCTGATTTGTAGCCAATCCATATATAATTGTTGCATATAAGGCAATGTCTAGCTGGAGAACACATTTGCCTTCACCAGCCATTTTACTGAAATACATCCAATTGGTCCTGTAAACCAATTAGCAGAAAAGCTGACTGTGTCAATAGCTCTTAATTTAAGAAGAGAAATTAATTTTTAATTTATGGAATAACTAGATGCATCTTAGAGACTAATTATCTGGTTACTGTCTTTGTCAAGGATAACACTTAGCACTTACACAGCACTTTTCATCCCCAAGTTGTTTTTAAACATACACTATAATTAAACCACATTAACTTTTCATTCAAAGAAGTGTATTGTCCATACTTCACAGCCAGCAAAGCTGCGGCTACAAATAAGTGACAAAGAGAAGGACACAGTATCAGAGATGTGCTGGCAGCTGCTTGCTTCAGCCCAGGAAGTACAATGGTTCCAAATGATTACTAGTCAATTCTGTTTCCTCTATTGTCCCATCTTCTTAAGTTCTGACAGCACAAAAACCTAAATGAGACTAGACCATGTAGGATTCCCATTTCTGTAAGTATATAAGGTCAGTATCTTACCATTCCTGTTATTCCTATTTGACATGAGATTTACCTCCAGGGAACATAGGTAAGGAAAAACCACACCTCAACAGCTGTAAGTTCTCTCGATCTTGGCGTCAACAGAGCTTGTCTACAGACGCAAAACTACCTCAGAAACACTACTGTGTTTCCACAACCAAAGAACAAGAGTTGCTTTGACATTATTTAAGGCAAAAGAGACTTTTGTAACTTGCTCAGAAGACTTCTATGAGAAATTCCAAATTAATTGCCATGCTAACTTACCGATATTTGAGTTTAGGCCTCCCAACTTATCCTAGTTCTGGTGATAATGTCACCAATGCATTACAGGCATGTCAGTAGCATACGCATTTCAACTCACAACCTACGAGTTTAATAACTGGTTGTGTTTTTCAGTACCATATCACTCACTTTTCATACCTTTAGCCACACACATTTCTCCATTCCCGAGGAGATATTCTGAAATTTGCTTACATACAAAATATTCATAAGACATATTGCATTACTTGAAATACAATTTGTGATCATTTAATTGTGCCACAATTTTGCCAATTGGTATGATTGAGACTCAGAGCTACAGAGAGTTTGGCTTTTGATAAACAAACCATTCTTTCATTTCCATTTATTCCCTTAATTCTTTTCAGACAGAAATCTAGAAATCTCTCCCATAGGTGTCCCAAAGTAATGAGAGAGAACTAGAACTTAGAATGTAAATTCTTACACAATCTTAATTACAAATAGCCCCTTTAATCCTAAAGATGACATTAAAGTCACAAAATTAGAAATAACTGACCATATGCAAATATACAAAGACTTGCATTCCCCTTAGAAACAACAATACTGTTTAGACTACTTGAAGTAAATGGTTTCCTTTACATTTGTTTTTTTTATACAACCTTATATTTATGGTAAAACATCATGAGACTCCGGCTAAAGTATCATCTAAAACTTGACTAATAACACGCCTTATTCTGTTCACTACAAGTCACAGACAGGGAGATCTTTAAATGTGCAGAGAGAAATAAAAAAAATGTAACATCTGAAAGAAAGCAGCTTTCGATTTCTCTGGATCTTAAATTCAGTAACACAGTCCCCAAGTGTGCTGCTCTTGGTACTAACAGAGAGAACACACTAGCTAAAGTTAGCAATGACTTTGCAAAACAGGGAAAATGCAAAACACATTCTTTTGGAACAAGAAAATTAAACTTTCCTAAAACCATCAAGGACAATTAATCAAAAATTGTTAAGGAAGAACACTTCTGTAAGTAATATTCAAGTCCGTTTAAAACACGTATATAAGTAATTTGATTCCTGACTACTCAGAAATTGCATTATGTTTTGCCTAAGCCCTGAAAACATAAATATTGTTTTAGCCACGAAAATTCTTTTAGCTCTAAATTATTCAGAGATTCTAAGGTCTTTATGCTTTCAAAAATACTTAGCCTTAGCACTCAAAACTAAGACAAAATGAAGTTAGATGCCTCAACAGATTGGTCACTTATTGGCCAAATAAACACTTGTTAACATTTGTAGAACCCTCTTTACCTCTTGAGAATATGGCAGTACAGGTGATAATCACAATTTCAATGTTTAAACTGTTAAACTAAAGTATCTGTATAGTTAAAAGGACAGATGGTCTTCTGAGATGACTTCAGAGATAGCTTAGCATCCCTTTCTGAACCATTCTCCAGAGACTGATTCCTTTCTCCACTAACAGAGCTCCTTAACTAGCCATTTAACCTCAGCACTCAAATTAGGTCATGTAAACATACCTAAACAACTCTTGAAAACGAACTTTCTTAGTTATTTAGGCCCATATTATAGCATCTCCCAGACTGAATCCATGTGGACTATCAGAGCAGGGGAATGGAAGAAGTACTTCCATGCCTGCCATGCTTGATGAAGACGTAGTCAGATGGGCTGCCAGCAAGAAGGAACTGGAGTATTTTGAACTTGACTCATCCAAGCCCAACAACCTCTTGTGGGTACACTGATACATGTCTGGCCCATAGCACTATGAAGAGTAACTTGCCATGACAATACTTTTGAAAAGGACAACCTCTAAAACTCTTCTCTTTGATGTCTTGGTCACATCTAATTTTGATTTTCTGAGTCTCCAAGACTTGATAAAATTGATGATCTTGCTGGGCATTAGAAAATTCTATCATATAAATAAATGAATTCTTTCCATATCCACAAATGTTAAAATTAGATGTCACAGTATAAAACAATAATAGCATTAGCAATTTGTATCGTCAAAGTTGTTTTATTTTATCTGAATGGAAAAATACATGGAGTTACAATGTGGATACCAACATTGCCTACAGATGCACAAATTTCAGAAGACAGCAGAAATCAGTCAGATTACAAGATAAAACAGTAAGTAGTCTCAGACTTGCATTTCTTTAAAATTATAAAATAAACGTGAGACAAGTCAGTAGTGAGCTAATGCCAGTGCTTCACCCCAAGGGCTCATTTAGAGTTACAATTTTTTTTAAGCAACCCCAACTATGGTAATTGATTTAAATCAATTCTCCATATGGACATTAGGAAAAGCCCCAATCGTTGACTTCATCTCTTGTTCACAAGAAATTAAGCATATAATTAACTTTTCAAATTGCAGGGTAGACTTCTGGGGCATGTGTACATGCAGTGAGATTTTACAAATCCTTTAACGACCATTCATAAACCTGACAAAATGAGCTCGCCATTCTTATGGCTACAAAACCCAGTTACCAAACATCACAGGAATGACTGATTCTTTCTCCTCCTGTACCATTTTTCTGTAATAAATCAACAGTGATTTTCAAAACAGCTTACATGTGATTAACAATTAAGAGCACTACTTTCCTAACTTGTTATAGAAGCAGTATGTCTGCAGCTTAGAATAAAAACCCAATCTTTACTTTCTGTTTGTTTGCTTATATTCTTCTGCGTTGCTCATATGCATTGGCTTTCATTGCTTACATTTTTTGTTTTAAAATAGGAGAGCCTTGAAAATTTCAGAACAGTAGCAGATCATGCCTTACAACACTGAATAATTTTAAAATGGATTTATTAACACAGCATAAAACTGTGGTCCCTAAACCCTGACTTGTGGATGTTTTGTGAGACCTGCAGACCTTCCTCAGGGTCACAGGAAATTGTTGTCACTATGGCAGTCACAGGAAGCCATTGCCACTATGATTCAGATGGATGCAGGGAGCTAAGTATGATGATTCCTCTAGTATGTTATTTTTCAGTGTTGTTGCTGAAAAGCCAGCCAAGACTAGAGGTATTGGATGCATATAAACCGCAATCCCTTTAATGTATGGAGTCACAAAGTCTCAGCAAGATTGTTAGAACTTCAAATTATAAACCTCTAATCTAAAATTCTTAAGCTCCAGCCTAGATGTTAGAAAAAATATCTACTATCCCACCAAGACACTATAAACACTCCCTATAAACCCACACACTTGTTTAGAGGTTTCATATGACTACACTAAGACACATCAGTTGCAGCATGAGCAGGCATAGTGAACATATCCAGCTAGCTTGGATACCAGTAACATCACAAATTCCAGCTACTAGGCAATTACCTGGGTGCAGCGCATTCTGGAGACTGTTATCACCATTCTACTGTTATTGGTAGCTAAATTAGCTTCAAGGAACCTGAATATTTGTAGATACGCTGCAATCATGCACTTTGGCTTCACTGCAACCCTCATTACACTCCATGCCAACGGAATTCTGGCTTGTATTAGAAATAGTGTGACCAGCAGAAGTAGGGAGGTGATCATGCCCCTGTACTCAGCACTGGTGAGGCCACACCTGGAGTATTGTGTCCAGTTCTGGGCACCTCAATACAAGAGAGATCTCGAGGTGCTGGAGCGAGTACAGAGGAGGGCAACGAAACTAGTGAAGGGCCTGGAAAACAAATCATATGAAGAGCGGCTGAAGGAGCTGGGACTGTTTAGTATGAGGAAGAGGAGGCTGAGGGGAGACCTCATCACTCTCTACAACTACGTGAAGGACACTGTAGAGAGGTTGGTGCTGGTCTCTTCTCACAGGTAATTAACGACAGAACGAGAGGGAACGGCTTCAAGCTCCAACAGGGGAGGTTTAGATTGAACATTAGGAAGGAATTTTTCACCGAAAGAGTGATAGGGCATTGGAACAGGCTGCCCAGGGAGGGGGTGGAGTCACCATCCCTGGCTGTGTTTAAGGGACGTTTCGATGCGGTACTGAGGGATATGGTGTAGGGGAGGACTTTATAGAGTAGGGTAGATGGTTGGACTCGATGTTCCCAAGGGTCTCTTCCAATCTGAATGATTCTATGATTCTATGATTTATGTATGTTGCCCCATTGCAACCTTGCATTTTGTGTTGCATCTTTCACAGTAGTGCACTTTTATGGAACTTGATGCTTAGAGAATGATGTTACCACTGTAACAGACAGCCTAACTTAATGCACTTATTAATTGAAACACACATACATGCCGCGACTATTCACAGATTTCAAAATTTTCTATTTGTAGTTAGGTCAGTGCAATAATACCTTTTGGTCATGGCAGAACAAATCTAGTGCTGAGTATCTCAGGCCTTTAAACAGCCAAATCAGCCAGACCTGATCTTTATCACGTCCCAGCATATATACACAGAAACAATTCCTTCCCCATCTATACCCATGCATACAGATACAATGGTATCTACTTCTTACTGGCATCAGGCAACCACATCCGTTCACTCACTCAACCCAAACTTCCATCTTCAGCTACTCAGCCCGCCAACATGCTGTTAACACATCTTCAGAGAGCTCTGCATTTTTCCTGCCTTCAAATTCATAATTTTATTCCCTCCAATTGCATCCATTCCTCTCTCAAATTCATAGTTTCCTCTTTCTACTTTTGTCCTTTCTGCCACTTGCTGAACACGCAGAGACTCATTTAATCTACAGTAAGTGTGTTAGTGCAATTTGTTTCATTAGCTTCATTCATTTTTTTTGGCAGATTCTAAAGGTTCCAGGATAGAAACAAGGCCCCATCTATGCCAATCGTTCTGCGTACCAGCCACAGAAAGACAAACCCTGTCCTAAAGAGATTAAAGGCTAGATTTAAAATAAAGAGAAATTAAATGGTAATCAAAGGAATTTGGGATGAAAAAAGAAATTTATATAGCAAGAGCTTTTTTGTTAAACTTACAAGTTTCATCCTGCATCTACATACCTCCTGTTAGTATTCTTTCATTTAAGGATTACCTATGGTATCATGTTTCTGTTGGCCATTAGAGTGGCATATAAATATCCTTATTTACCTCTTTTAAAAAGCATATATAGAACATTTCAAAATGCAAACAACACGCAAAAGAGCTGTTTACACTCTATTTAAAGACCCCCTATCAGTTTAAACTGCTTGGGTCAAGCACATAATCTCCTCTGTTACTGCAATGAAACAATTCAGAGGGTTAAAAAGCCATAGAGCCACGGTTTTTTCCTATGCTTAGGTATGGATTGCTGGGGATTCCAGTAGATGTAAAAGATGAGAGTTAGCATTTTAATGGTAACTGCTTGCCATAAGCAACACCTGCTTAAAAGCAAGGTGGATTTCAATAAGCATTAACCTCGCTGAAGTTTTGCAACAGGAAATCTTCCATTTTACGCCCATCCTCTGCATAAGTCTGAACTTAACATAACAAAAACCCTGCTGGGCTGAGCTATTGGATCTCAATGTCCCATCAGCTCAAGGGCTGAGCAGTCTCTTTGTATTAGTTGGTAATTTCTTGCAGGCTTGGAATTTACTGCCATCCTTCTACACCGTGGCACAGCAGCACCAGAGAAACGAACTGTGGCTAACTGAACTGACTGGCTGGCACAATTAAAATCAACAACCGTACAAAGTATCTACACAAGCCGTGCTGTTTTATACTAAGGACCATGACAGTTCTGACCTCCCCTGCACGAGAGCTGTCTGGCATCTTTGCTTTTGTGAATTTCTGAGTGTAAGTGTTCGTAAGATTTCGAAAGTACTATGTCTCCTGAGTAAAAAATAAAAATTAGAAAAAAAGGAAGAGAATATATGACAATACATACCCCTGTACCCTGCCAGCCCTTCTACCTAATGTGAGGCCTTTTCCTCACAATATAAGTCTTGGGATGAACAAATAGACTGCTACTAGTGTAAGACAGTAATAAAGAAAAAAGCATTAGAACAGATGATCATACCCCTAACATGCAGAACAGTCATGTGCGTGCATAGTATGGTTTGCTCCACTGTTGAAATACAGTTGGAGTACCTCCAAGCACAGTGAAATTCTTTGCGTAGGAGCGCAATGTAAAAACAGTTCTGGTGCTACGTACGAGCCATCTTCACTAATATGTTTCTTTAATCTCTCCTAGGACTCATCTGAATAAGGTAAAAAGTTTCTGGGAAACAAATCTTCATTTTCTATGTGTCGTATGTTGTCACTATTGCACAGAAGAAAAATAACGAGAGGAAAGAACAGCAGAGTCCTTCCGCTCCTCTGACCATTTATTTTATACCAGGTCTCTTCAAGATGAGAACTCTTTCCAAATTATTTGCAACTTCTGTGGACCCTAATGCATTTTCCTTAGTGGGACATTCAGAAAAACCTGAAATCTCAGATCTGAATTAAAACTGAAATCCTTTCACAGGGATACCTTTGAAATTAAGGTACCTCAGTAGCAACACAAATCTTCTCATTGTTCTCTAGAATTCTGGCAAAGAACATATTCAGCCTTAGAGGCTCCTAGATGGCTGCCATCTTTCAAAGCATTATCGCCTTGGGATACAGATCTTTTACAAATATGGTCTAACAAAACTGTTTCAAAATTATTTAGAAAGTAATATTAATGGTAGGTAGTTTTGGGAAAGCTTACCAAATATGATTTCTTTTAAGGCACAGATCGTACACTGAATCCATTTGCTGCTTCTCTGTGATACAGACTGACAAAGCTGCAAGCATGGCTGGAAAAAAAAATTAAAAATTGTAATTCAATATCTACTACTCCTTCTCCCAATAAACACGTTCCATTCTACCCACTCATGCTACCAAACCACACATTTAACAGATATGGTGGTACAACATAAAAATTTATTAAACAGCTTTATCTTTAGCAAATCCATTTAAGTGCATTTGTAATGTATTTGTCTCCAGAAACCTGTCTAGCTGTTCCTCCTGATGTTCCCATATGTTCCTTACACACTTTACACCACCAATAATGTAAACATGATTACCATGCAAAGTAAACCACTATCAGACAGAAAAGGAAGTGTCTTTATGTCTGTTACATAAGTCAAACCACTAAGATCTGGACAACAGAGTAGGTTAATCATACCTTTATTACTTACTAAAATCCCATAGCTAGGAGCTTGCAAAATGATGGGTTACTTGCATACAGTCAAACATAGCTTTATTGCTGTTCCAGAAGGTTATTTATTCCATGTCCTCATTACTACTAATAAAAAAACCCCAAAATTATTTGCATTACTGTAGTCCTTTACATATAACTTGCTTTTCTTACAATGAAGTGAAAAAAGGCAAGTACCAGGCCTTAAATCTGATCAAGGATTTTTTTTCTCATACCCCTTGCAAAAATTTCATTAGTTCTTCACACCCGTTACTTATAAGTTTTTTACCTGACAACCGGGGGTGTAGCTGTGTTTCTATTGTAAGCAGATGGTTGGAAGCAACTTTGAAGTCTGCCAATAAAAGTCACTAACATAAAAGAAAAGGAATACTTTATTATTAAAGGAAATCTTCTATATTTTACTTGTTACTTTTCAGGAAATTTCAATCGTTGCTTAACAATATACCTCTCATAATAGCACTAGGAAGAATACAACCATTGATGCTTCAAGATCACTTTTGTCTTTCTGTCTCCAGTCACTCCTACTTTTCTAAATCCATCCTTCCTTATAGCAAGTCCCTCTTTTTCTGCAAAGGTCTTGGCTTCCCAAAATGTATAATCATACATGTAACAGACTAAACCTTTCCTTCTTCATTAATTTTTGTTTAAGAAATACAAGATTTCCTACCCGAGGGAATAAATGCCCACACAGTAGCAACTACTGAGCCCACAAGAAGAAAAATCACTGATTCAGAACATCTTAAGGGAAAACGTTAACTCTTTTTCTCCCCTTTTCACCACAGCACCTTTCTTTCACCTTTATCTGATGTACCCGATCTTCCTTAACCTTTTAAAGCGTTTATTTACTTCACAAAAGACACACGGCCCTCTGCCTTCTTCACGTTTTCCCTGTCGCCGCTCACCACACCGTTTTTCGCTCACCCCCTCCCCTCAGTTCGGGTCCCCCTAGCCCCCACAGCACGGGGGCAGGCAGTGCCACAGTAACGACAACCCCCCGCACCCGGGCGGCCGCAGCGGAACACAGCGCCGTAGGAGCTGGGAGGCAGAGACCGCCCCTCCCCGGTGGGGGTGCCGCCCCAGGGCGCCTTATCCCCCCCTGAGGGACGCCCTCCTGCCCTCGCCATCTTGCCTCGCGCCCTCTCCCGGCCGCTCACCCGCAGCGCGCATGCCAGCCACCGCGCGCCTCCAGCCTCGCGCCCCCCACCCCCCTCGACGGACGTCTCCCTCCGCCAATTACCAGCCTCCCGCGGGAGCGGCTCCTCCTCCCGCCAATGAGATAGCGGATCGGCCCCAGAGGCCCAGCCCCCCTAATCTGTAACGGCCTGGAGCGCACTAAGCCACCCCCCTTCTTCCTCTTCCCGGCTCTTCATTGAATGAAGTTCTCGCTGGCCAACGAGAAGTTCCCGCTGGGCTTGACGGACTGCTCCGCCCTCCAGTAGAAGTGGAAAATTTCACCGCGCCCGCCAATAGGGTGCCGGATGCGAGCCTAGGGGGCGGGCTCTCCCTCCCAGGCGGGCGGGGAAGGCCGTGGTTATCGATCCCGCTGCTGGAGGGAGGCGGCGGTGAAGCAGCAGAGAAAATGGCGGCCATGGCTGCGGAGGCGGCAGCGACTGCAGCGGTGCCGGGCGATGGGGGGGCTGGTGAAGCTGAGCCCGAGATGGAGCCTATCCCGGGCAGCGAGGCCGGCGCAGACCCTCTCCCTGCCGTCAGCGAGGCCGTGGAGTCGGTGGTGCCCGATGGGGAGGAGGCCGATGGGGGGAAGGTTGCTCCCGGCGAGGCCGAGGAGCCGCCGCCTGTGCAGCTCGCCCGGAGCCCGGCTGGGACTCGGGAGCCGGAAGCTGAGAGGACGGAGGAGCTGCCGCCCTCCGCCCCGGAGGTGTGCTCGCCCCAGGCCGAGCACCGGGGAGCGCCCAGCCCGGGGTCCGAGGAGGAGCCGCAGCCCTGCCCGCCGCCTGCTGGGCACCCTGAACTTCCCGAGGAGGAGCCGCAGCCCTGCCCGCCGGCTACTGGGGGCTCCGCGGAGCCGGAGCCCGGGGAGGAGCCGTCCCGGCCGGAGGAGGAGGAGCCGGATGCTGCTGATGCCGCCGCTGTCGAGCCCAAGTCCCCGGTGCCCGTGGCTCCGGCCGGAGGGGAGGCGGAGGCTCCGCTGCTGCCCGGCTCCGAGGTGCGGGTCACCCTGGACCACATCATCGAGGATGCCCTGGTGGTTTCGTTCCGGCTGGGAGAGAAGCTTTTTTCTGGGGTCCTCATGGACCTCTCGAAAAGGTGAGATCCCACTGGGGAGCCCTCCCCATCCCCCGCCCAGCGACGGGGCTGGCGAGCTCGCCCGGAGCCGCCCTGCGCCTCTCCCGCCCCGGGGAGGGGGGGTCTGGGCCACGCTGAGGCCCCGGTGGGCTCGCCCCGCGGCGGGCAGCGGCCACCCCTCCCCTCCTTCGCCCTGGGGACAAGCGGCTCCTGTCCCCAGGGAACGGAGGCAGCAGCTCACAGCATCCTCCTTCTCAACCCTTCTAGCAGCGGGTGGAGGGGGGCGGGCACGGCTCCCCATTCCCGCCCGGGGCCGAACCCCGCGCTCCCTGCCCGCCCCCGGCCTCGACGGCAGGCCCGGGGAGCTGGGGGGGGGAGCGGCGCCGGTGGCCTCCCGGTTTGTGGTGCTGCCCTCAACGCAAGTAGTCCTGAGTGGGAATGAGAAAATGGGGGAGTGGGGAGAGGGGCGAGCACATGGGCACGTCCTTTGGACTCGGTTGGGATTCACGTCGGGCCTCCAGCATCCCTGTCTGCCCGGGGGAAAACCACCCGAGCTACAAATGTTGGCGTTTCTTCCAGTATTTGTGCAAATGTACAGACCCAGAGAGCTGTTTTTCCCTGTTGGCTTGTGTCTGGCATTGCCTAGGTAACCTTGTATTTCAGTACGTGCTATTTTCCAGAATAATGGTTTTCAAGTCAGGCTATTACAGTTCTGAAGTACAGTTATTAGTACTGATTGCTCTTTCTATGCAATGAATGGGGTGAAGTTTAATGGTTCTTAAATACCCTTTTTTTTTTTTTTTTAGAGGGGGAGAACTGGTACATATTTCAAAATAATTTCAGGCCTTACCAGGTTATGAGCTTTGGGGTTTGCTTTTTTCTATTCCCTTCCTATAGCAAGGGGGTTTTGGGAGACCAGAAGTCATCAGTAATACTGTGTATCCTATAAACAATTTAACTACCATTTACAGGTGAAAATACCCCTTTGTCTTAGTGTTTGGTTTCTAAATATGTAAGGATTATGAAAGTACATGAGAGACAAGTGAAATTTGTCTAGGGTTATTATTTCAAATAATTGGCATGGAGAAAATGCAGCTCTTTCCCCCCCAAATTTAGGCTGCACGTGTGGTCATATATGTCTTTTATCACTCTCTTTTACATTATTAGTAGATGTTTTGACTTCCTGTAATACCAACATCATCAATGTTTTCTAAAAGAAAGGTATTAGAGCCCAGCACTTTTGTCCTGGGCCTAGCTTCTTGGTTGGTTTTTGAAACAAGCAGCCTTTTCTGAAACCCGAGTTCTGGATAAAGTCATGGAAGTGTTTTAAATTTGTCAGGTGTTGTGGTTTGAAATGCTAAGTTACCAGTTTGACTTCCGAAGCCAAGTACTAAAGTGTGATCTGCAAACTACTCCCTTCTAGTGTGAAATATTAAATGTCTCAAAGCAGGCCAGGAGGCATTACAACTTAAGTTGTGATGCTAGTTAACATCGATTCTTTTGTAGGTCTGAAGTTTACACCAGCAAAATGATATTGTTGCTATGGTTAGCAGGGTGACAAAGCAAATGCTTCTGTACTTGTAGGGGTCTGTCTGTGTGAAGAAGGAATATATCAGCTTCTCCCTTACTCATGAAAGAGACAAACATCCCTTCATATGCTTGAGGTTTGCTTGTGCACTGAGGATACCTCTCTCATGCAGCGGATCTACTGCAGCCCTTTGCAGTAAAGGTCATCTGTAGCAGGCAAACTGTGTGCTGCTGTTGCATTGTGGCTTCAGTGGAAGCATGCATCTCAATTTCCCCTGGCTTTAAGCACAGGTCCTGGGGCAAATCTTCACAGTAAGAACTGTGGAAAAGTGATACCTGAAGCCTTGTGCGGTTACTCCCAGATTCTCTTATGCAGTGGAATCACTTATTCCTTTCTCTCCATTCGTATGGTCTTGGACTTCAGAGGTGCTTGTTACATGGGAATCCAGAAGGTGAATTTTAAGTTCTAAAAGCCAAGCTCTTCAGAGTGCCTGGATGAGAAGAACTGAGTTTCTAGATATAAGGCCTATTACATTTGGCTAGTAACAAGTAAATATTTGTAGATGAATAGGAGTTTCTGTTCAAATGTCTCAGAGCAGGAGATGCAGTGGTAAGCGAACTCTAGAAATAGTCCAAGAGCTTGCTACCTGTGGGAAACTGAAGTATTATCACAAGGCAGGTGTTATAGAAGTGTCCAAGGTTTAAATTTTATTCTAAACTTTGTGAAAGCTGTCTCCACTAGCTCATTCAAGTGCACGGAAGCAATCTTATAAACTTTCCTAATGCAAAGGGAATCAATATATTAAATAAAAACAAAATTTTGTATTACGATTAATTCATTCAATAGCTTCAAAAAGTAGCTGATGTGTTCACTGCACGTGCTAATGCTGTTTTCATCATATACTTGGAAGAAAATAATTCCTAGTCCTTTTTGGATCTTAATTTTTGCTTTCCCCTCCAGGGCAATGAAGGTGCTACTTCCATACGGTACTGAGAAGAGTAAGTTTTAATTACTGTTTTAAAAACCTGTCCACTGGACCCTTTTTAGCCTTCTCAAGTCATGTTCTAAATTATGTGAACTTCAAGGTGAAAGAAAAGCAAAACCGTCCCGATGTTTTTCTGGTTTTAAAATTGGGATTTTTTTTGTTTGTTTTGGTTTTTCCTTTTTTTCCTAATTCTGTTTCCATTGTTGAAATGATGCACTGACTTGCCATTTTATTCTTGTGGACTTTGATATGAAGTCAGAGGTGCTTGTATTAAAGGTCTGCTTTCTTCTTCCTTTCCTACCCCCTGTAAATAGGATGTCCATTTAGGAGTTTATAACACAAGAAAACAAGCACCTTTGTGTTCAGTGAACTTTATTCCTACATTTATTTGAGGTAAGGAAGTATTTTTTCTCCCTGTACTGATGGCAGACTCATGTACCTGCCAGCAGCTGCACAGGAAGCTTTGAAAATCAGCAGAAAATAGGAATCCACGTCTATTGAGTCCCAAATCAATTTCTTATGCAGTAAATCATCATTAAAAGAAGGACATATCCCCACTTTTGTTACTCTAAAGGCTTATTGCAGAAATTAAAAATGTGATCCTATTGTTAAACTTTATTATTGCTGTCTTATTGCGTGTTAGGATAAGGTTCTCATGCGAGTTCCTCAGTGTGTACCTGATGGAGTCGTGCTGATAGGAGGGATGGGAAGTGCAGGCAGAATGCAATCCTGTCTGTCAGAGAGGATGGTAGAATGCTTCATGCACGACTGTAATTTTCCATGCCATTGTATGAATTGTCATTGAAAACTCCTTGTTTAGATATGGGACTTAAACAGGGCTTGTAAGCTTGCCTGTATCCAGCATTTGACTACCACCGTATATGCCTAGGGTCGATGAGATGTTAATGCCACCTGCTGGCTCAGAATTAGTGTAAAGCTTGCCCTGTACCTGGAGGAAATAGACAGTAAGGAAATATTTGATGAGCATAGTGTTTGTAAATCTTGAAATGTAGGGTTAGAAAGTCTTGAGTTCGTTTGCTCTTCTGGAGACAGGATCATTATTTCTGTGTAAGGGGAGGAGGGGGGATTAAATTTATGTTCAGCCAGGACTTGGACTTTCTATTGCTTTATCATTTGACTAAAATTTTGGTTGTAAGCCAGATGTGATGGATAGATGTGTCTTCCTATTGTCTCTTTCTCTAAGCTATTTCCTTTTTGACTTGTGAGGGATCATAATAGTTTTTGAGAGGGAAAGGAAGAGCAAAACTTTTGTGACCTAAAGCCACGGATGCCCAGCGTATTGCTAGTAGGTAGGTGTTTGAAATATATCTTAATTGGGGTTTGGTTG